GGAAACTGATGAATTATGTTTTTGACTTCTAAACACATTAAATTATACAAAGACTAGGAGATCATTTATATTAGATCTTGTGTAGAATGTTTTGTGATTTTCTTCTCACAAAAAAAAAAAAAAAACTCCATTCAGGACGGCAATGAACACATGAATCCAGTTGAGGAATCCAATATGGTTTGTAATGCAGGATCCAGTGAAGAAAAGCTCATGTTCAACCGGACGTCCCGTTAAGGCACATGTGTGTGTGTGTGTGTCTGTGTGTGTGTGTGTGTGTGTGTGCGTGTGCGTGTGTGTCTGTGTGTGTGTGTGTGTGTGTGTGTGTGTGTGTGTGTGTGTCTGTGTGTGTGTGTGTGTGTGTGTGCGTGTGTGTGTGTGTGTTACTGTATACAGCCACATATCATGAGCTGGAGATGTCAGATGTAAGATGTCACGCCGCAGACTCGGAGCCCAATTACAGGGAGGATTAGGACGGGGCTCAGTGACCCTCGCAGGAATTCGCAGGGATGCTCTGTGTTCGCTGTCAAACTCTGGGTTGCACCCTGCCTTTAAGTACTTTCACCTGCTAATTAAGCCGTCCAAACTCCAGTCATGGGGAAACGTGTGCGGCCAGACGCTCTTCCAGAGAAAGATGGCCGGTTCACAACTCAAGATGTCCTAATGTAAATATTTGAGCTGGCTTGTATAGTGGAGCGCGCTCGACTACGCATGGCAGAGGGACTGGACCGATTCTGGTGCCATTAGTGAGTTTAAGCCCTTTGCTTTGCTTAAAATCCAGCTGAAGTGCTTGAAGACGTGAGTCTCTGGACAGGAGGAGGTCCAGATCTGGGACTGACGTTAGTTTCTACCAGAGATCTCAGCTGTGTTTCAGTTTCGTCTCAGATGGTTCTCCTAAAATGCTTTTGTGATGTTGTTTTTATATCTCTAAATGTGACTTTATATTTTGCAATATCTTTATGACATATATTAATGTTTCTCTGGCTTTATATTTCTCTATAACTCTATTTTATCTCTTTATATATCTTACAATCCCAACTCTGAATCTCACGATTACAACTTTATTTTTTGCAATTTTTCGCTATAATGAAAAATTCTCACAATAGAGATTTTATACCATACAATTTCATTTTATATCACACAATTGTAAGTTTATTTTTGTAATTGTCAAGAATTCTCGCCATAGTGATTTTATATATTTATTTATCATATCACAGCATATATTTATCATATAATTATGACTTTAAACCTCACAGTCTGACATTAAATCTTGCAAAGTGACTTTTCTCTTGTAATTGCAACTTTATATCTCAAATTGTGACTTTGTCTTGCAATTAAGACTATGTTTCTTGTAGTTGTGACTATATTTCGCTGTAACTCTACATTGTATCTTTTTAACTGAAACTTTCTTTTAATTGTGGCTTTCTCACAATTGTCATCATTTCTCAAAATTACAATCTTGCAGTGATTTTTTTTCTTGACTTTATATCTCTCTATAACTCTGTATATTAACTCTATTTATATTTTTCAGTTCTATAACTCTGTAGCTCACATTGTGAGTATAAATATCACAATTGCAACTTTTTGTTTTGCAGTTATGAAGAATGACCTTACAGTTTCACTTTATATAACATGAAGCAACTTTATAATTTGCTAATCAACTTTCTTTTAATTACAACTTTTTTTTTCACAATTGCAACTTTATTTTCGCTATTGCCAAGAATTCTTGCAATAATGATTTTATACCATACAATTATGACTTTAAACATTTATTTTGTAACTGCTACTTTATATCTCAAAATGTGACTTTATGTCTCATAATTACAACTTATTTTCTTGTAATTGTGACGTTATATCTTCCTATATCTCTATATATCAACTCTATTTCTCACAATTCCAACTCCATATGTGACTTTATTTATCACAAAGTGAAGATTTCTCACCATAGAACTGTACAATTATTACTTTGTAAAGCCAATCTAAGCATTAAAGTCTCCCACACTTCAAATAAAGATCATACTGCTACTAATTACAACCACATGTTAATTTGAGTTTGTGCATGTGTGTGTGTGTGTGTGTGTGTGCAACTGTGCGTGTGTGTGTGTTTGAGAGTGTGTGTGCATGTGTGCATGTGTGTGTGTGTGTGAGAGTGTGTGTGTGTGTGTGTGTGTGTGTGTGTGTGTGGGTGTGTGTGTGTGTGCAACTTTGCGTGTGTGTGTGTGTGTGTGTGTGTGTGTGTGTGTGTGTGTGTGTGTGTGTGTGCAACTGTACATGTGTGTGTGTGTGTGCAACTGTGCGTGTGTGTGTGTGTGTGAGAGTGTGTGTGCATGTGTGTGTGCAACTATGCATGTGCAGAGGCGGACAAAGTACTAAACTCCATTACTTGAGTGAAAGTACAGATACTGCTGGTCAAATATTACTCCATTACAAGTAAAAGTTGTAAAGACAGATTTTTACTTAAGTAAAAGTACAGAAGTACTTGCTTTTAAAAGTACTTAAGTACCAAAAGTAAATTTCCTTTTTTATGCCAATGCACTGTTTTATTGTTGTACATAATACTTGCAA